ACTCACAGTGGGAGGAGGGTTTGAAATGATGCTTTGTTCCCGCAAAGGGACCTAAATAACATGTTTTCTCTTTGTTCACAATGTTTCATATAGCAAGAAAATAAAATAAGACATCTGTCTCATGGATTTCTACTGAGAACAGAAGTTAACTTGGTCCAACCCCCCTCTCCACCGTCCCCTAGTTAGGAGACTCCACCACATTCCTTTTTTTTTCTCTAGATAGTAGAGAAGAAGCAAGTATGCTTTCATTATTTAGTTTATGTACTAGTCAGTGTTTACATTTCATCTCCCTGCCTCCTGTCACATTTGGCCTCCTCCAGTGAACCATCAGCTCTTGAACAAACCTATTTTCCCCCAATATTAAATGCTTGGTGTATGAGTTTGGCTGTTTTTAAATGGGAATGGAGGTTATTTGTTACTCTGAAATGTAGGGCTGTCACAGAGTAGTCAACTAGTCAATTAAACCTTAGACTTCTCGGTTAATCTAGTCGTCCTGTAAAGTAATGCAGTTGCTGAACCAGTTTAGCTGTGAGAGGATGCAGTTCTAGGGCACAGTACTTAGGAAACCTACCCCCAAAAGGGATCAAACCCCCAAATAAATCCGTCTTTCTCTGTGTAAAAGTTTTACACAAAGAAAGCTCAATGAGGATGTTTGCCCTTTTTATCAAAGAAAGAGAGAGATGCACACTGGTTTTTTTCACCCAGGTAACAATTATTTACACTGGCCATATAGTAAACAAAAGGTTTTTTTTATTTAGTACAAAAAATGGGATTTAAGGGGTTGCAAGTGAAAACAAACCAATCAAATAAGTTACTAAGTTAAAATAAAAAGAAAATGCATAGCTAGTGCTAATTCACCAAAAAACATATTGCAACCAGATTCTTACCCTACTTAGCTGTTTTTGTTCTAGACATAATCTTCAGGTCAGAGACTCTTTTATTCTGACCTGGATCTTCAGCCCTTTGTATCATTTCAGGGTTTTCCAGTCAAAGACCGAGGCTGATAGCATCCCCTTGCTTAAATAGCCTTTCCTCCAGGGTGGGAACTATTTGTTCTATATCCCTCCCATGGAAAACTACCAGGTTCAAAACAGAATTCCAGTATAAAGTGGTATAGTCGCATGTCTTACAAGTCTAATCACCTTTAAACTTACAGAACAAACAAGGCTGTTTACAAGTCGTTAAGTGGTCACCAAGTCGTTAAGGCTTTTGGGGGCCCTTATTAACACATTTAAAATGAATCAGAGGCAGTAGCGCTCCCCTGTCCATCGGATGTAGAGCAGCCTCTGTCTGCGGGGAGTTTGGACCCCCTACAGAGAGAGGGTGCTTCACAGCAGCCTCCCCTGACCCACTGCTACGCTGCCGTCTCTTATAAAGGCAGTAGTGTGGAGTGGGGGGCAGGTGGCACCATGGAATGGGGACTAGGGGAAACTGGCTTTTAAGCTGGCTCCCTTCAGCACCAGCTCCTGCCTGCCCCCCCTCCCCACCCCTGTAGGAGGCAGCTGTGGGGGGGGGGAGAAGCAGGTGGGTATGCTGAGCCAGCACTCAAGGGGAACCTGCTTGAAAGCTGGCTCCCCACACATATTGGCTCCAACCTGCCCCCCACACTGTCTGTGCGGCTGCCTCTCTATCAGAGGGTATGTCTACACTAGCCACCCTAGTTCGAACTTGCAAATGAAGCCTGGGATTAAAATATCCCAGGCTTTATTTGCATGTTCCCGGGCGCTGCCATTTTTAAATGCCTGGTAGTTCGGACTCTCTGCCCATAGCTACACGCGGCATGGGCTAGGTAGTTCGAACTAAAGCCCCTAATTCGGACTACCGTTACTCCTCCTGCAATGAGGAACTAGGGTGGCTAGTGTAGACATACCCAGAGGGAGCAGCGCAGAACTGGGGGTGGGGCAGGCAGATCTGGTGCTTGGGGAGCCTGCTTAAAGCCAGCTCCTCACAGGCGCCAGCTCCCACTGTTGCCTTCTCCCCTCCCCTGCCCCTCCGCTGCCTCTGATACAGAGGCAGTAAGTGGGGAGGTGGGGGTGAAATGCACATATTCAACAAGTTGAATAAACCTAGGCTTATCGGTTAATCATATAGTTGTCTACACAATGACATCCCTAATCCTCATTCCTTCACAGAAACCTGTTGACATCAGGAGCACTTTACTTGGGCATAGAACACAGCTGATGCAGTGTGTTTACAGGATCAGGGCTGGGATTTGTTCTAGTCTGTGTGGCAGGGACCAAAGCGGGGTCTAATCATGTTAGGGAATCATTTTTCTTTTCCTTATTTCTATTCCTTATCCTATTTCGTTATTCTTTGGAGGAGGAGTTAACGTAGGAGCAGTTATCTAGGAGGAAGTGTCTTGCATGGCATACTCTTGATCCTAATAATTCACTTGGAGGAATATTAGCCTCCTAGGTGTAAATAATCTAAGACTGTTCATATATTCCAAGGCCAGAAAAAACACTGTGGTGGTCTAGTGTAAGCTCCTGTATACTGCAGGCTGTCGATCTTATAGAGCAGATCTTTTAGAAAAACTTCCCATCTTGATTGAGAAACCTTCACAACCTTTGGTCAGTTGTTCCAGTGGTTAGTTACTCTCGCTATTAACAAATTATACCTTATTTCCGGTCTGACTTTGTTCAGCTTCTAGCCCCCTGAATTGTGATCTATTTTTTCCTGAAGGGCCCATTATTGAATATTTGTTCACCATGTAGATACATATACCTTGAGATCAAATCACCTCTTAACCTTCCCTTTCCTAAGATAAATAGATTGAGCTAATTCAATCTGTCATAATAAGGCATGCTTTCTAATCCTTTAATCATTCTTGTGGCTCTTCTCTGCACCCTCACTAGTTTATCAACATCATTCTTGAATTGTGGGCACCAGAACTGGACACAGTATTCCAGCAGTGGTTGCACCAGTACTAAATACAAAGGTAAAATAACCTCTCTATTCCTACTCAGAATTCACCTGATGACACATCCAAGGATCACGCTAGCCCTTTTTCTCAGCTTCACACAAAAGTCATGTGCAGTTGATTATTCGCCATGATCCACACAATTGTACAGTATATGTGATACCAGATGTATATGATCTCCCTCTATAGGAGCACTTTCTGTCTATGACATGATGATGTAGTTTTAACATTTCATTTCAAGTTATGCAAATAATTGACTCATCTCATTTGTCAGCAGGTGGTTATTGTTAAAATTGTAAATGAGTAATGGTCCAATTCCAGAAATGTTTATAGATTCTAGGGCAGATTCTGAGCTACTCTGAGTCAATATAGCTCCACTAGTGTCAATAGAGCTATGCCACTGTACATCATCTGAGAATCAGGCCTACTGTGTCTGACTTTAACAGATTATTTGAGGGTTAAAGGTCATTGACTTGTTTGATTTTATGGCTGCCTTGCTCAGCAAAAAGAAAGAGGCAAGGATGGGGTTACTTACTTCTCATGTTGCAGTTCTGCCATATTACACCAAGCAGTTCCTAGGGCAAAACAGAACTGCAACAATTTTAGGTTTTTATAGTGCACCTGTCACCATGGTAACTAAACATTGTACACAATTAAGAGCAGAGATTGCAAAGTTATATTGGACAGGTGCGTTTATCTCATGATCTGAACTCCGTCAGCCTAAGCTTGATTCCTTCTTTCTGTGTCCTTGATTGAAGTCACTTAACTTCTCTCTCAGTAAAATGGGGATAATAATAGGCATATACATACCTCTCAAGAGTGTTGTGAGGGTTAATTAGTTAATGTTCGTAGTGATATATTTAAAAATAATATTTTCATCTGTAGATCTCAAAGCACTTTACAATAGAGGTAATTTTACATACGGGGAAGTTGAGGCACAGATGTCTATGTGATTTTTTTTTCCCATGGTCACCCAGCAGGCCAGGGGAAGAGCCAGGAATAGTCTCATGGTAACTGGTTTCCCATTGCCTAGACTTCTTTCTTATGTAGCCTCTTTCTCTGCACCTGCTGCTCATCTCATTTTGGACCGACTGCCAAGCTGCTAGCTGATATGCTAAATGATACAGTGTGACTAAAAAAGAAGGCACCTGGATGGGATGACTGATACCATTCATTTGCTAGGCTTTGGAAGGCTCATTGTGATGTACAAGAAAACAGAGACTTGTATTATATATCACAAATGGAAAAGGGCCAAGATTCCATTGCTAAGTATAGACCCAGGACTGTGATGTTGGCTTTACGCTGTTGCTCTCTGGTAATACTATGTCTGAAGATAAATTCTTTTAGACTAGGCTTGTTTAAAATAGAATACTTTTGCAGGTAGGGTTGGAGGGGAGGATGAGGTACATCCTTTGTGCTTCTCATGTTTTAGTTTTGCTGCAAGATTAGTTTAATAGCACTGTTCACAGAGATAAATACAAAGGGCGGGAGAGAACGGTGGCTAGCAAGAAGAGAGGGCCAGAAATATTTTACTGTAAACATCCTGGATAAGGAATAGCACACATGGGGTTATCCCCCACATTTCAAATTAGAAGTGGCAAAGCTGCAGGTTTTGGACACATTTTTGGGGGCACATGAACAGGACACAACGTGTGGTCAAAGAAAATAGTTAAGTGAGTAGCAGATAAGCTTACCCCACAGCTGGCATTAGCCATCACAGGTCACATGGAGTGTTGACATCTCCCTAGTTAAACTTCTATGAAGGAGAAAGTGGCCTGTCTCAATCTGTCCACTAGCATAGCTAGGTCATCTTCAGTGTGAGGAAAATCTCTGCCGTACAAGCATCTACGCCTTAAATTCTCTTTTATTACCAGTGAGTAGCAAATTAAACCTAGTGAGTTGGCATGAAAGCGAACAAGGCATAATGTAGTTTCCATTACTTTGTGGTTAGGAACGCTGACAGAGCTGTGTCCTCTGAGATCTACCATTCACCTTTTCTTTGGTGTTTGTATCTTACCGTGTGTTGTCTGATTGATTGAGGAGTGACAGAGGAGTACGTTGC